CGAGCGCTAATGCCGAATACAGTGGAGTAGAAAAACGCACATAAGGTGCGAATAACTATTGACGTCAACAACTTTGCTTTTAGCGAAATCCACTAACTCAACAAGTATTGCTCTTAGTTATGCGGATATTGCTGATCCGAAGTCAAGTAGTGTTTGATAGTGTGAAATATGCTTTAGTTAAACGTAACAAAATTTCGCGCGATTTGCTAAACTAAGAAAAAAGTTATGAACGAAAAAGCGTGAAAACGTTTGGCCGAATACTGTTGAGCGCTACTGTATATTCCACTTGGGTTAAGTTTCCCTTGAATACATTGGATGGCAGTAGAACGACCGCCACCACCATTCCTGAACCGTTTCAGTCTATTTAGTTACTCTCAATACTGACCTCGTGCTGGACGTACGGTGTCGAAAGGGATCTTCACTAGACCGAGATCCGATCCATCTAGTTGATCGAGACCTCTTTTCCGTTTCCTAAGCACACCTTCGAATCCGAATTCTGTTCGTCCTACTCTGTCGAATGCACGCTTTCGTCGAAATCCGAAATCAGCCATTTCGATTCTGAAAATTGTCGACATTGAGCGAAACGATGTGTAAAGCGGAAATTGATTCCTACCTATCAAATGCCCTTTTTGCGGCAGACCGTTTGAAGAGCCCAAAGTCGTTACTTTCTATGCGATCGAAGGCTCTTTTCGTGAGTCCCCCAAAGGGACGTTCTGCTACATCGCTGCAAAACGACGTTTACTCTTTACAAAGTGCATCCTCTCTGACATACAGTTGAAGGCACAGTTCACGATAATTTTGGATACCCTTTTCGAGTTGAAAAATGGAAGTGTTGATGTAGAGCAGTACATGGGTGGCGAAAAAAGCGAGAAATGACGCCTACCTCGCGAAGAACAAGGTTTTCGTATAGTAGTGGAGATAGAGGTTGTACGAGAGCATAATTGCAGAAATGGCATGAAATGGGATGTTTGGACGAGATTTCACGTGCTCCAGCTGCGCAGAGAGCTGACTACATTGAGCCGAAAGGTCCAAAACTGCCTTTCACTGTCGTTATGGTTTATGACAAGTTGTTTGAGTTTCCTGAATGGGAGTTCCTTGAGCTTGTGCGACCTCCGCAGCACTGTTGAAACTCGTCCTTTGTGGGTGTGACATTCGCATGATGCAACCTCTGACCCTTTGTTGTGCCCTATCCATGATGTTTTTCGACCAGGTATGGTATAAGGTGCAGCCTTGAATACTTACTTACTTACTTACTGTAGGGATATCTCATAAACCACTTTTATCGTGAACTGTACCTTCAAATAGCAATATATTTGCCGAAGAACTCACGTCAGCTCGTAATCAGAGTTCAAAACATATGGATAGGCCGAACATAACGCTAAGAAGACAATCTAAAAGGGCATCATTCGATTATTAGGTAAGGAACAGCTCGGAATCGAAGCTAACTATTCAAGGATACCACACTCACCTGTACCACATGTAGTCGTAACAGGGAGGAGTACTGAGTCATTGCTGACCTTATTACCTACAACGAATTGAAGGTACTGAAACGAACAAGGTAGGCGAAATCAGTAGGTACAGAAGTGGGAACAAAGTAATTCAGAACGACCTCAAATACGAACGGAAAACACGTCTATAGAAAAGAAGCACACAAGAATCAATAGGTAGAGAAATCATTGGATTCTT